ACTTCCTGAGGCTGCTGGACATGCCAGAGTATCAAGGGGACAGGCTGCGTGTGCTCAGGCCTGGATCATTACCCTGTTCGGGACGAGAAGTACCAACTGACGTCCCTGCAGGGAGCTCTGTCTTTTCATCCCTTGGCATGCTCCTGAGAAGTTTCTGGAATGAGGCGAATAGCCCTGTTCTGCCAACGAACACGTGGAGACATATAGGAAGCAGGTCAGACCCAGCGGAGAAGCCTGTGAATGAGCAGGTGCCTGCATGGTGGTGTGTCCCAACACCAGCCTGCTCCTGAATCTCTCACTTTCTTCTCTACTGGGCTAACAGGAATCTCTCTCACTGGGCTCCTGCTAGTCTCATACTTGTGATCAGAGCCATGGCATTGGCCCCTGACCCTATGGTCACACATGCAGACTCTTGGTTCCTCAGGTCAGTCAATGGCCCCATAGCAAGACCCAGCTCCATGGGACGGAGCAGACACAGATGATGGGATTGGTGTATTTGTGTGCATGCATGCGCGCGTGGGCATGTATATGCACATTGCGGGATTGCTGGCCTGGAGAGGACAGAATGCCCAGTCAGGGAAGGGGTGACCCTCTACATCCTGAGACAGAGGTAGGAAGAAGACAGGAGAAAGAAGGATGGGAGAGGAAGTGGCCTGTGAAAAAAAGTGAACCTGGACTGAAGTTAGATTTCACCAGTGTCATCATTACGCCAACCAGTGGGGGATCCTCTCAGAGGTGCACCAAACCGCAGCTCCTTCCCTAGATGAGAGTGAGACACACTGAGGCTTATTTCCTCTCTACACTGATCTGGCATTTTCTGCCTCCTTGGCTCCTTGTCTTAAAACAAGGATTCAAAAATGCTATGAAAAGACGCTGGCTAGCTGAAAAGGAGACTTCACTTTTCACAAGTGTCATTCTGAAACTGCGTGAATGAAGAGAAACATTTGCCATTTGGGTTGTGCATTCAATATATTGGAGTGTCTGCTCTCACCTGTGAAATTCTTAGGTAGTCTGCATTGGAGCCAGGCAATCATGTCACCACTCCCCCGTGCCCCAAATCCACCGCTATGAGAGCACTTTGAGTATTCAGAGCTCACAGTCAGCATGTGATGAAGATGGCTTGGTGGCCAGGCAGGGACTCAGGGCTGTGCATAAACACAGGTGGCGGGGGACCACGGTCAGCCAGGGCCTGCAGGGACCCACAGGTAGTCTCCAGGCCTCCTATTCCCTGAATGGCAGTGTAAAAATTGCTCTCCCAGGTCCTCCACATCCCCTCTTCCATCTCTTCTTCCTCAGTGCATGTGATTGGTAGGGCTTGGAATCACATCCTGAACCTAGCTGCAAGGGAGTTTGGGAATTGTAGTTTTTTCTCTTTCTGACCTGTACACATCTCTGTTTCAGGTCTAGATAGACAAATGCCCAGTCTATATTACTGCCAGAAGAAGACAAGGCCCAGCAGTGTTTGATTCCAGTAGTGTAGTTATTCAGTTTAAAAGTGATGTTGAGGGGCCAGGTCTGGAATGTGGCCCAGATGCAAAAGGATTTGTGCAAATCACCTGTGACTTCAGCTTCGGTGGCCTCGGTTTTTAGGAAGGCAGGAACTCAGTCTCCTAGACTTTCTCTCCTCTACACTTGCTATTGGAAGAATTGACCAGGTCTCTTGGTCATGATAGTCTAGGTCAGTGGTTGGCAAACTGTGGCTCTCGAGCTGAGGTTTGCCGCTCTGTTGACTAATGAGTTTGCCAACCACTGGGGTCTAGGTGCTGCTGGGTGGTAAACAGCCTTTGGCTATCAGTGACTTAACATCAGAATGACTAGGATTTCCATCTTATTCATGCCATCTGTTCAGTGCAGGCTGGTTGGGGATTTCGGAGTGACTCAGGGATTTGAGCTGGCCCAGGATCTGTGTTCAGGCTAGCTCCCATGTGCAAAATGTGGCAAACTGTGTACTCATTTCTGCAAAGAAGGGGCATGTTGCTGCACTCATATTTCACTGACCCATGCAAGCCGCACAGCTCCCCTCACCTCAAGGAGGAGAAATCTGAATCCTCCTGTTGTCAGGAGGACCCGGGAACCCACAGATGAACAGCACTGACTACCCCAGCGAGAGGTCGAGGGGAAAATGGTGCCCCTTCTATCACCCCCCTCCCCCAATGCTCCAGCTGGAATAGCTGACATTCCCCCATCACCATTTTTCTTTTCCTCCAGGCGCTGGAAATTTCAACTTTAAAGACATGGATAACATTTTTACTTGAAAATGGCCTGTGAAACACCAGCAGCCTCCAGAGACAAAATTCGAATCGTGCTTTTCCTCAAGCACCTCAGTGGTTCTGAGCCAGGCAGGATTTTGTGGGCTGGGTATGCTGTGTGTTTGTTTTTGTATAAAATCCTATCTTCCTTGGTTAGAGAAGGAAGCCAGTGGGCATAAGAGGAAGACCCCAGGTTTCCTCTTAGGTTCATCTCATGTGCCCACCCTCACCCAGGCTTTCTCTGACCATCTCCTCCTAAGTAAGTTTGAAGCCGTTTCTGACTCTCATGTGCCCCCTATCCCCACCCCCTTTCCTACACCCAACCCCACCCCAGGTTCTGTCCTGGTCCCTCCTTGTATTATCAATGTTTGTGTAAATGTTTTCCTAACTGGAAGGCTGTGAGCTCTTTGAGAGCAAGAACTTGGTCTGACCCATCTGGAATTGTCCCTACTGCACAGATGGCATTGATTACATTTTTCAATAGCTCAGAGAAGAAATCTCTATCTTGACCTTAGGGCCTCTTCTGCATGGCTAGACGGATGAATGGAAGAGAAAATCAAAGAGTAAAGAAATAAATACACACAGAGACCAGTTCATGTCTCTTAGGGAAAAGAAACAAGCCTATTCTCCCCAGATAGCTCTGCTAATTCTGATGAGCTAACACACAAACATAAGCTCTTGGAACAGAGGGGACAGATGGATGTGGGGATGTCTTAGGGCCATCTCTCACCCCTCTGCACTCGAAGACCCAGGCCCTGCCGTGACCAGCAGTGTCCCTGAACACAAGTAGACTCTGGTCAGGAGGTGGCCCTCATGCCAGGAGCAGGTTTTCCTGGGGCAGTGATTCAGGGAGTGCTCCTCATATCTGATGACTTCTGGGACCCCGGCTGAGGGGTACATAGGGACGGAGCCACAGCACAGTGGGGTCTGTAGGAATTCTTGCCTGTGAGACCGCCATGGCATGCATCTGCTTTCTATTAAATGTGTCCCAGTGGAAGCACATGATAGCCCTAGGACCCCGGAGCCAGCAAGAGGTCAGAAAGTCAAGGCAGCAAGAGCCAGAGGGGCAGCCCCAGAGAAAGTGACCCTCAGCTGTTGAGAGGAGCCTCAAGCACCATTTCCTTTTCCTCGGGAGATGGGAAAAGTGCCAACACAGAAATCCCAGGCCTCCTAGATCTCTCCAGGGTGGGTGGAGTCTTGGAGAAAGGAGGGAAGAGAGGCAGGGCAGGAAGGTGGTGTCTGTGTCCAGGTGGCTGTGGGGCGAGAGGACTGACACCCTGTTCCTTCTAAAATAAGAAGACAGAAACTTCACCCCCCTCTGCTGTCTCCTTCCCATTTTCCTTCAGCTCAGAGAGAGGCACAGAGCTGACCAGTGGTCTCTGAGAGAGGAGGTTAGACTTCTTTGACTTGACCTTTCCATCATGAGACAGAGGAACGTGCAGGTGCAGAAGGAAGCCCAGGGGCTTGAGGGCCATCTCCACTGCAGAGGGGCAGGGAGAGGTGGTTTCACAGGGCGGCCTAGGTAACCACAGGGTAGCCACCAGGCCAACAGGGTATGTGGCTGCTGCCAGGGTAGCCCAATCCCCTGCCAAAGACACCACCAGGGATCTCAGGAAAGAACCCAGCCCTCTCCCCTAGTCGCCCATGGAATGATGCTCTGTGGCCAGCAGGGTACCAAAGGATAACTGTGCTGTATTATTAACATGAACACTAATGACAAACGCACTACAGTAGTGGGCACATCATAGATACATAGGATATTCTTTCTAGAGCCTGGACATAGATATAAAATAAGTTATACTTGCTTTTGTTTTCCATCACAGTAGGAGCATAGCATACAAAGTGACTAGTTCAATGGCCACGAAGCAAATCAGGGGAGAGACCACGGAGGTGGGAGCAGGGCCCCGAGAATAGGAGTGATGTGTCGAGGGCACTGCCGTTGCTGGTGGCCCATCAGACCTCTGGGTGGTCTTTCTGAGAGTCAGCACGAGGTCCCACATGACAGCCAGTGACTGCATTGGATGACTCAGCTCTGGTGGGAGGTGGAGCAGGGACAGGCAGGAGCAGCATCCAGCAGGCGGGCCCACTCTCCCGCTGGCGCTGTTGGACTGCGGCAATTATAGGAACGCGGGGCGCCGAGCCAGAAGGCACACTTAGCTTCTGCGATATGACAGATGGCCAGACGGATGGCCCACCAAGTGCTGCTGGCCCTGCCCGCTCACCAGCCGGCTCTGGCTGCAAGAAGGGAGCTCAGGGCCATGTCCCTTCAAGGCTGGGACCTGTTTCCAGGGGATGCCTCTCCTCCCCGCACCCTCCTTGCAGCAGCCCCTTCCCGCACACCTCCCGGCCTTGGAGCAGATTTCAAATCAGGAAGCCAAAGACAGGGAGAAAGCTCAGAAAACAAAGTGAATCGCCAATTAAGTGGAAAGTATTTCCATCTGTCCTGAGTCAGGGGAATGTGGAGGTGGGTGGGCCGGTAGGTGGGTGAACTCCCTGCAGGAGAAGGCAGGTCTCTGGGTGGGGGAAGTCAGGAAGGAGAGAGAGACGGAGAGGGAGGCTTGGGAGCTGGACCCTGTGCTTCTGCCGATGATGAGGACTTGTGTCCAGCCCGGAAACCTGGGGATGGCTGATCCCTCTCACCTGCTGTGCGGTTCTCAAGATTGTGTGTGTGTGTGTATATGTGTGTGTGTCCGTCTCCGCCTCTCCCATCTCCTGTAACACCTGCCTGCTCTGAACCTCCACCTTCTCCCATTACTCAGCAACTTTCCTCTTGGATGGCGGCAGGAGGTGGATGGGCAGCTCATTGGGCAGCTCATGGCCCTCCAGCTTGACCTTGATGAGGTGGTTGGCCAGGGCGAACTCCTCGTCGTCCAGCATGCCATCCTTGTCAACGTCCGCCAGCTTCCAGATCTTGCCCAGCACGCTGTTGGGCAGCTTGGAGCGCACCATCTCCTTCTTGGCGTTGGCGCCCGTGATCTTGCCGTCCACCGGTGACAGGGTGTAGAAGATCTCGTCGTACATGGGCTTGTCCCTGGCCACGACCCACTCAGCGTCATCGATGCCCTCCCCGGCCCCCTCCCCATAGCCGTGCCCGAAGGGGCCTTGCAGGGTGCCCTCGAACGCACCGCCCTTCACCATCGGGGCGGGCCGCTGTGACTCCTCCTGGCGCACCAGCACCATGAGCTGGGCGATGTCGCGGGCCAGCATGTCATCCACCACCTCCAGCAGCTTGCTTTTCAGGGGCTGGAATTTGCTGAAGTCCTGGGCCTGCAGCTGGTCCTGAGGAGGGGGAGGGAGGGAGGAGAAAAGGAGGTGAGGCAGGAAGACAGCGGGAGGAGTGTCCTCCCCTGAGGGGGATGCTGTCTTCCACTAAGGCTGGGGTGCCCACAGCCCTTTGGCCTGAAGCCAAACTGAGCCACATCAAAATCATAAAAGCTCTGAGAGAGGACGGGGAAAGAAGGCATGTTGTGCTGAGGCTGGGATTTTTCAGGAGCCAGTAGAACCGTCTTGGGGGCTGGGAAGGAGTGAGATGGAGCATGGGGGTGGGGGCGTCTCTTTACTTCAATAAGGTTACACTTGAAAACGCAGAGTGCTTTTACTAGATGATCTTATTGGCTCCTCTAGTGCCCTTCTGAGGGAGGGAAATCATATCTCATCCCCATTTAGGGAGGAAAAACCGAGGTCCAGGCAGCTCAGAACAAAACATACTAGAAGCCCAGGGTCAATCCTGCCTAGCGGTTCTTCATCAGGATGCTCATCGGAATCACCTGGGGAGAGTGTGCACTGATTGGCTCCAACTTGAAGCTCCTCACACAGTAGACGCAGCGGGCATGCAGATTTTGCAACAGCTCCCTTCTTGGCCTCCCAATGACACCCCCGCTACACGGGTAAGAGAAACACGCTCCCCTTTGCACGTCGTTGTGATTTTTGAAAGGTCCTGAATCTAGAATGCCAGGCTTCCCTGGGCCTCAGGAGTGAGGTGAGAGCTCTCCCCTCCTGCCCTGGCTAGGCCGCCACACCCTCAGGACCCGGGGAAGAGGCCAGTGCACGGGGGATAGGCTGGCGACAAGCACCTCGAGTTCACAGTAGAAAAATTCCACCAACACCCACAGCCACATTCCAAGAGGCAGTGTTAGCTTGGGCGTTTCTCACCTCCCTTCAAGGACAGGCTGAACCAGGGCGGTGGAGCTGGGAGGGGAGGAGGGCAGGGGCGGATCAGCTGTTTTCCTGCCCTCAGGGCATGACCTCTTAAGATCCCTCAGGTCTCTGTCCATAGCTGGGTGGGTTCCCAATATCTTCCAGGGGCACAGTGGCTATGCCCCTACCTGCCCCCCCTCATACTTTCCCCCAAAGGACAGCCACTTACATTATTGATCAGCATACCTAATAGCAGGAGATGAACTCATTTATGTTGTGAAAGAGTCTCTCACATTAAAAAAGGGGTCGTATGGTCCCTTTCAAACATCATCTTCCCAAATGTTTGATTACAGAGCATTAAACTCTTAATGGAAAGAGAAACTACAAGTTGACCATGTTCCAGGGCATAGTCGATTGAGACACAAGTAACATTAAAGTAATTTCTGAAGTTAGTGACTGGCTCGTGGAAGATGGTTATAGGCATGAGTGGAAACATGAACAAATGTGTATTTTGAATGTCTATTTTTTTTTAAATCAGATAGAAAACTCAAAGTGTCTATTTGAGACCCTAGGGAGTTCTGAAACCCCAGTTCCCTAGTCACAGCCACCACGTCATGTTAAATATTACAGAACAAGTCACCTAATGAAAAAACTGGTTCCCAAGCTTCAGATCGAAGTCAGCAACAAGAGCAAAAACAGTATCACTGCTACATCTGCGGCTATGTTTTCTCTCTCTGATTTTTAAAACACCATGTTTTGATATAATCCAGAGCCATGAGAAGTTGCAAAAATTACATAGATAGGTAAACCCCTTTTGCTCACCACCCAGCTTCCCTGGTGGTAACGTCTTATGCCATTTCAAGGGCGAGTCAGTGCCAGGCTCTGCACTGAGTACCTTATAAAAATTATCTCACGGATGCTCACAGCATCCATAGCGGAGTATGTCTGGGGCCTTGATTTACAGATGAACAGACAGAGGCTCAGAGAGGATTCAGCTGGGATGGGGAGGTATTTTCTTGCTTGGACTGTGGGGGCAGCTCCTGGCTTTTCTATTAGCAGGCCACGGGAATACTACACTCAGAAAACTGCAGGCAGCTAACTGCGAAGGTTAATTATCTTCATCAACTGCAATTTTCTAATCCATCACAGGAGGAGGAAAAAGCCTTCTGCAGAGGGCTGATGTGGGGAATGACATGAGTCACCACGTGTGATGGTCCCTGGCTCAAGAGAGGGGCCTGTCGTGGGCTACAAAGATGGCAGGGTCCTGGGCAGACTTCTTCTCCATGGCCTATGTTCCCAGCCTCTCTTACGTACATGAGGGCCTGGAGAACCTTCATTAGGTGACTTGTCCTATCTCACATGACGTGATGGCTGTGACTAGGGAACTGGCGGTACAGACCCCAAACATCATGGGACACTCCTATCCTACTAGGATCGCTGGAGAACCACGTTTCTCTCCAGCCCCAGGTATGACACCTGCTAGGCCAGTGACAGCACCGAGAAGGACAGACCTAGGGCATTTCCCTGTGTGGCCTCCTCCATACTCAGGCTGCTCACTGTCCCTGTGTCCTGGGGTTACCTGCATCCTCTTCAGGTTGGGAAAGTCCCCAGGCGAGATCTGGTGCTCCCGCTCGATCCGGCCGTAAATCTCAGCCAGGTTGTTCACCAGCTCCTTCTTCTTGTTGTCCTTCCCGAACACGGAGGGCATCTCCTTCTTCAGAGAGCTGATGATGTAGGCATGGACCTGGGAAATAGGCAGAGAGAACGCTTCTGATCAAGACCTGGATCCATTCCTTTCTTCTTGGTGGCTCTCAACCATCTCGTCCCATAAACCCCTCCTCCTCCTGCTCCTACTTCCAAAATAATTTCTGTCCACACTCTTGCTCTCTCACTTCTTGCAGCACTGAACTGTTTTTCTGGACCTCAGGGGAAAGGCGAGATTGTGGGGAGGTTAAGGTCAAGGCAATAGCAGGGACGGTAATACTGGAGATGATGCTGATGAGGAAGACAATAACAATAGCCAACATTTACTGAGTGCTTTTGAGGTCACGGCATGGCAATAAAGGGTTTTACATTCTGATTCTACTCTATCCTCCAACTTTTTCATTTCCCAGGTGAGGAAACAGGCACAGAGATATGGAGGGCCTTGCTTGGGATGAGATCGCAGTTTGTAAACAGTGGAATGTAGCTCCAATCTGGCCATGTGACCCCATATCCTGCCCCCGGCTGCCTGTATGGGCATGGCTGAAGCTCATGACACAGTAGTTACAGGACATGCTCACATGGGCAGGCAACGCTCAAGGTTGCAGGTGGCTCTTGCAGCTAAACCCCGCCTCCCCAAACACATGGTGCCACCCATGCTGCCCATCCCCCCAAGGGCAGACTCACCTTGGCCAGCCTGGCTCTCTTAATGAGGTCATTGAGCTTGCGCAGGGCAGCGTTTCGGGGCAAACTCTGAATGTCCTTGAACAGGTCCTGCTCCTCGGCCTCGAAGAGCTTCCGGTTGTCAGGGATGAGAAGGGGGTGGGACCAGAAGGAGCCGATGTAGACCCGGATCACCTCCGGGGTGTTCACTATCTTCCCCAGGGACCACATGAGGGCCCCGTACACCCGCATCAGCTGCTGGGTCTCGATCTGGTCGGCCTTGTTCAGCACCACCCGCATCTTGTCCTCGTGGTTCTTGAGGGCCTTGATGACCTCGGAGAACTCGTCAGAGATGTCCAGCTTGTGGGCGTCAAAGAGCAGGATGATGCGGTCGACCCGCTCGGCGAACCACTCAAGGACAGCAGCGAAGTCATACCCTGTGGGCAGAGGGACAGTCAGGGGGCACAGGCTAGGGGTTTGGGGTGATGCACCAGGTGCAGTAGAAATAAGACCATCTCGGGAGTCAAATCTGGGTTCCAATTCTGATTCTTCCGCTGTTTTCACTATTTGGCCTTGAGCAAGTTACTCTGTGTCTCTAAGTCACAGTGTTTTCATCTATCAGTGGGCTCACTGATAGTACCTCATTAAGAGAACTATAGGGACTAAATATACTGAAAGCCCAGCATATAGTAACTGCTCAATAAATGCCAATTATCATTAGCAGCCTTTTGATTCAGGGAAACTGACTCTCTCCCTTATGGAACAGGGCCTAGGAAAGTGACCAGGCAGGGATATTGTCAGTGCCATCTAGAAGCAGTCACCCCGTGACTCCTCCAGGACCACCCCGCTTGTAGGAGGCAGTGGTGGGGTGCGGTACATAGTTCTCTAACCCCAGCTCCAGTGCTTGCTCCGGCTGGCAAGATGGTTACAGCACAACTTCATTTCACCCTCACAACACCCTCTGTTGTAGGTAGGTGGGGTGAGGAGTATCATTCCCACTTTCCAGAGGAGGAAACAGGTTCAGAGATGAAGTGAGGGTTAAACAGCAGGCAAGGGGTAGGGCCAGGACTGCACCTGGCCAACAAGTCCCTGTGCTCCCTGCACATGTCATGCGGGCAGCAATCCAGCACCTGGCCACATCCCTGTCTACCTGCTCTACCCTGCCCTGCCCTGCCCTCCCCTGCCCTGCTCACTGCACAGGCCCAGCCAGCAGCTCCCACAGAGCCTGGGAGGCCTGTGCATTCCCGTTCCAGGTGGGCCTGCAGCCTGCAGCCGACACTTGCTCCCCTGCCTGCGCAGCCCCAGGGATTGCTCCTGGCTATTTCTTTCTTTTTAAAAAAAAAATATATATATATATATATATATTTATTGATTATTTTACAGAGATGAAGAGAGAGGGATAGAGAGTTAGAAACATCGATGAGAGAGAAATATTGATCAGCTGCCTTCTGCACACCCCCTACTGGGGATGTGCCTGCAACCAAGGTACATGCCCTTGACTGGAATCGAACCTGGGACCCTTTAGTCCACAGGTCGATGCTCTATCCACTGAGCCAAACCGGTTTTCAGCACTCCTGGCTATTTCTAATCGTCCCTTTGGCATAGCCCAGTAGACTGGCTGCTCTTCCCTCCCAAAGGCAGTCCTTCAGAACTGTGGGCAGGAAGTGGGCAGAGGGCTCAGAAAATCAGGGCAACCTCCAAGATGGGGATGGAACCATTTGTATGCATAAGCATCTACAGACACAATTAAATTCAAAATATTGTGGAGAGTGAGGATGGTTTCCGTTTTGGATGTATGGCAGTTCACTGGTTAATTGTGCCCTAGATTCAGCTTATGTACAACCAGGAATGGGAGCAGCTGAAAGGCATGAGCTGGAGCCATTAAGGAAAAGGGCATGGGGCTGGCTCTCCCATGTACTCACTGTGTGGCCTTGGGCAAGTCTGAACCTCCATTTTCTCAGCTGTAAAATGGGGATAACAACAACTGACTAATGAGGGGTCAGTGGCAGAACTATGGCAACAGAATCCGACTGCAGAGGGAGGGGCTGCGCTGAGTCTGGAGCCTCTGCCCCAGGGCCTGGGGCGGACAGGACACCAGCGACAAGGCCCCCTTTCCCTCACTGGTCCGGGAATGGGTCCCAGATCCATAACAAGAGCTCTAGGGCACCTGCAGCAGTCTGAGGGCTCATGATGTAAGATATGGCCATGGGTGGGGGAGATTCGAGCCCCAAGAGATGGAGGGCGAAGCTGGCCTTCCTGGAATTGCTTACAGCAAGTCTGCAGGCTCCAAGAGATCTGGATTGCAGGCGCCAGGCCCAGAGACTGGGCAGCCTGCAGGCACCTGGGTCTCTCCCCACGGCCCCCAGGCTCCGGCCAACAGGAAAGAGAATATATCTAAGTAATGCCAGGCAGCAGGAAATCAATGAGACAAACCCAATAAGCAAGGCGGCTCCTTAAGGACCCGCTGGCTTCCTTCGCAGTCTAAAGAGAAATGCAGGGGATACGGCAGCACATGTCTTGGCACATTCAGCCACTCAATCTCATTGATCCTCATATCTGCCGATGCCAGGGGTAAATAGGGCCTGCACATCTTACAGGGAAGGGAGAGGGAACAGAGAGAGGAACGGGCTGGCCCCAGCTCACACAGCCAGGTGGTGGCAAACTTGGGACTAGAACCCAGAACCTTGACTCTTGTCTATTTTCCCTTCGTGCTTGTTGCCATGTGCCTGGCTGAGCCCAGAGGCCTGAGCCTTCAGAATAGACAGTTACTTAGGGTCCTGCTCTGCCTACCCCCAAATCTCTTTCATGATTTAAAATAAAATAAAATAAAATAAAATAAAATAAAATAAAATAAAATAAAATAAAATAAAATAAAATAAAATAAAATAAAATAAAATAAAATAAAATAAAATAAAATAAAATAAAATTAGTAACAAGGCATCGATTTCCAAAATGTGGGAAGGATTGAGATGACTATGGTGACAAATGCCACACGACATGCCTTCCAGAAGGTTTGCAGGCTGTCAGCAAGCCCTTGGAAAGGGGATCAGGACTCTCCTGCTGTCCCAGTGAGGCCCAGGAGGCCTCTAAGTGCTGGCCCTGCTCCAGCAAGGGGGCCCGGGACGGGCCAGGGCTGTGAGAGTTCCTCAGGGGATAAGACTGCTCTCATGCCTACTCCCTACTTCTATGAAATGTGCTGGGAAGCCACGAGACTGGGAGTCAGGAGGTCAGAGCTCTCATTGCAGCATGAGACTGGGCAAGGGATTCACCTGCTACAGAGCTGCTGAGCGCACCTGTGCAGGAAGGGCTTGCTGGAAGGGATGTCCGGGGGTTGCTTTTCCAGGGTGGAGCCGGTGGGGATTTCTAACTGAGAGCAGCCGGGAAATGCGGCTCCCCAGTAAGAGGACACTCAGGCTTCCGGGACCCACCCACTTGTGTTGCTTCCTTGCTCCTTCTCAGTAATGAGTCTTGGGCCAGCACATCCTGTCACTTCCCGGAATGCCTCTCTGCCCCTCTGCTGCCCACACGGTGCATCTCCATGCAGAGACAACTGCTGCTCGTGGCCGCCCAGGCCCGGGTTCTGGGATGTTCCCCGCTTTCTCCCACCCCGCAAAATAACCACCCCCAGCCTGGGCCATGGGGCACATCCTGAGCAAGACCATGTTTTATCCAGCCTGGCCTGGGGTCTGAGTCCTCCTTCCTGTGAAGCCTGGGGCCTGGGGAGCCCCTGAGAGCAGCGCACTTTCCACACGGGGCCCGTGGCCCAGAGGAGGCTCTGCAAGTGTCACAGTGGTGCCTTTTTTCTGGGAGACACAGCCCTGTGCCAGGCACAAGGCTTGGGCGCAGCAGAGTGTGGCCTGGATTTCAGGCTCCCCACACCCCTGTGCAGGGTTGGGGGTTCAGCCCTGCCCTGGGCTGGCCGAAGGGAGGGAAGAAGTGCCTTTCTGCCCTGGGACCAAATCTGGAGCTCTGAGGGCCCCAGACCACAGCCAGATAAAGTGCGTTTGGTTCTATGTTCACACTTGGGGGGGGGGTATGTGTGTGGAAGGAGGTGTGAATGTGTGTATGCACATGTGCTTATGAGCATGGGTATTTATGTGTGGAAGTGTATATGAGTACGGGTGTATATGTGTGTGGATGTGTATATGAGTGTGAGTGTAAATGAGTGTGGTTGTATATTTGGATGTGTGTGGATGAGTGTGGGTGTTTATGTGTGTGGATGTGTGTATGAGTGTGGGTGTATATGAGTGTGGGTGTAAATGTGTGTAGATGAGTGTGGGTGTTTATGTGTGTGGATGTGTGTATGAGTGTGGGTGTATATGAGTGTGGGTGTAAATGTGTGTAGATGAGTGTGGGTGTATATGAGTGTGGATGTATATGTGTGTCTGAGTGTGAGTGTAAATGAGTGTGGTTGTAAATGTGTGTGGATATGTGTATATGAGAGTGGGTGTTTATGTGTGTGGATGTGTGGATGAGTGTGGGTGTATATGAGTGTGGGTGTAAATGTGTGTGGATGTGTGTAGATGAGTGTGGGTGTTTATGTGTGTAGGTATAAGCCGGACCCTCCAGCTTCTACAGTTCTGTGAGGAAGGAAGAGGGGGGGCGCTGTGTACTGGAATCCTCCTCACTTGGGGTGCCCTGACATCTGGGAGTGTGTGATCCTCCCTCCCGGTTTCCTGGAGAGCTGAGGTCAGCACTGCCCGGGCTGACGATGCAGAGCTGTGGCCCAGCTCCCAGCTCCGGTTTCCACCACCGGCTGCTTTGCCAGCGGCTGCACTGGGAGACTGGACCAGGAGGGCAGGGACACACTGGCCTGGGGAGCACTCCTGCGGCATCACTTCTCCCAAAGGAGGGGCTTAGTCACGTGAGATGGGAAAGGACAGGAAGGGCAGGAAGATGGCCAAGCACCCAATCTGCGTAGGGCAGCCGCTGAGGCCTAGAGATGAAGGCCGGAGAGAAGGCAGAGGGGTGGAGAGAAAACGGGATAGGACAGGAGCGGAGGAAGGCAGGGATCCCCGAAGCAGGGCGGGCACACACCGCTGCAGGGGCTGCGCACCCACTGCTGCAGGGAGGCCATCACACAGATGGCCCTGGGGCTGCAGAGTGGGTGGCCCTGGCTGGCAGGTCAGGGGACAGGAGGGAGCGCTCTGAGACCCAGACCCAGAGCTGATGCCCGTGTTTCCATTACCATCTGTGGACCTGACAAGTTCATCTGAGGGGTCGTTACTCCTCCTTATACATGGGTAACAGCAAGGCTCAGGGGGAAACGTGACCTGCTGAGAGCCGCGCAGGCTCTAAACCCCCATCTCTGAACTTGAGTCCAGCCTCCTTGGCAACCTCCTGACCCGCCTGTCAGGCTGCACTGGCCTTGTAGGGATTGAAGCCTGGCTCTTCGGAGCCACCTGGAGGAGACAGGCTGCCTGTGGGAAACAGCACAACCTGAGGGAGCGGGTGCTGGCCCTGGTAGGCCATGCCCCTGGCAGAGAGGGTGTTCGAACACCTGTCTGTCTGTCTGGGCCGCAGAGCACAGGGGCCGAGGGAAGCAGACAGCCAGCTAAGGGTTCAGGCGAGGCGAGAGTTCCAGCCGCTGCCCAGGAGGCTCTTGCCAGGCTGAAGCCTTTCCTTCCCGGATGCTGACTTCCAAGTGCTGATTTGGCTCTAGCTCAGCTCCCAGCTCCACTACCGGACGGGTGTGCCTCATCTGCTTTTCTTGCCAGAGATACAGGGCACAGAAAGGGTAGAGGCGTCACCTGAGGCACACAGCACACCGCGGCAGGGGAGGCTGGGGGTGAGGAGCAGTTGTTTTAGCTTTAAACAGCATCAGTCTAACTGGAAAAAGCAGTGATAATGATGGTGAGGATCTATAACACCTTACTGGGCACTGCTATGTTGCCAGACAGAAAGCTTTTAATCTACCTTATTTCTTTTAATCCTCAAACAACCTATCCGATAGATAGAATTATTTCTCCCTACTTTACAGATGAACCAACTAGAGCAAACAAACCTGCCCCAGTTCAGGCCGCCAGGAAGTGGCAGAGGCAGGCTTGGAACCCTGGCAGTCTGGCTCGAGTTCCAGCTCCTAACCACCCTGGGGGAGATCTCCCTAAGGCGCGGTTCCCCCCTTTCTGTCCGGAGTGAGCAGTTTTCAAAATGCTCTCACATCCCAGCTCCCATCCCCAGGCCCAGAGCACGCTGTCCTCACATTGTGGAGCTGAAGTTCTCTGCCTCGCCCGCCCGTCACCCTGCAGAGCAGCAAGCTCCGGGGCAGAGACTGCAGGGACTTCAGAAGCGACCAGGGGCTGGCCCACATTAGATATCGCTTGGAGCATGAGTAACCTCGATGAGAGAGGAAAGGCAGATACTGATGTCTCCCTTTTACAGAGAAGACAGAGGCCAGCTGTCTCCAGAGCCACAGTAGACCCACCCTGGTCCCCTGGCCATTGCCTTGGACCATCCCATACAGCTCACCGGGCAGCACCGGTTCATGAGGGAAGACAGCAAGGCCCTGGAGGCCTGATCCTGGTATGGAAGCGAGAGAACACACCTGGAAGAAAAGAGCATAGAGCCCGCCGACCCTACCTCGGCTGATCCTCTGCTTTTCCCCAGAGAGGATGCCTGGCGTGTCGATGATGCTGATGCTCTCCAGCACAGGGTTGGGCAGCTGGGCACACACGAACCTGCATGGACGACAGGAGTCCGAGGTGAGCCACCGTCCTCACGTTGCCTCACACATCCTTGTTTCAGCCGCATGTCCACCTTCCCTGCCTGGGGGCAGAGGTTCAGAAACCTGGCTGCCTTCCCATGCAGACACCCAGCTCCACGTCAGACTTAACCACAGTGCTGGGCCAAGACCTGTCTGCTGAGGCAGCTCCTGGGGGAGCCTGGGCAGCCAGGGTCCTGCACTGTGACCCCTGCTGTCAGGAACATCAAGATGTCCAGAACTCAAGCCTTAGCCAGGGAACCAACCCAGTCTAGTGAGGAGGGGTGGCAGCACCTGGCCAACCTGAAGGAGGCCAGGCAAAGGGTTCAGGAGACCCAAGGTGGAGAGATGTAGTCCAGGACGGCCTGGACTGGAACTGGCCTTGATGAAGAGGTCATATCACCCAGAAACATTTGCTTGGGCCTCAAAGGGCTATCCAAATATCAAACTTTGCTATTAGGATAGCAGTCAAGCCTTATTCAAGGAAAAACATTTATAGTGTTACATCCTGAAGTCTCAACAGCACACCTAACTTAGATCCTTCTTACTTCAGCCTTCACTCTCATATGCCATTTTTGGTGGAAGCTAAAAAGGTATTTTTGGTAGAAGGTAAAAAGGTGTCTTATTCTCCCAGGTATATTATGTGAAATGGCAGAGATACAGGAAACATGGGAAAAAAGGAGGAGGGGAGGCCCTCACAGAGGAGGTCGAACTTGAACTAAGACTTCAAAAGACAATAAGCATTTGCCAGGCAGATAAGAATGCAGGCGTGTGTGTGTGTGTGTGTGTGTGTGTGTGTGTGTGTGTGTGTGTGTTTGCGAGCGCGCATGTGGGTATGTGTGTATTAGTGAATGGGTAGTGGAGAGAAGACAGTATTCCAGACTGAGATAAGAGGTAATAGTGAAAGAGCAGTGTTACGGGTTGAATTTTGTCCCCCAATGAGATCTGTTGAAGTCCTAACCCCTAAGGGGTCTAGAATGTGACCATTTTTTCAAAATAGGGTCTCTGTAGATGTAATTATTTAAGGTGGAATCATACTAGAGTAGGGTAGGCCCCTAATCCAATAAAACTGGTGTCCTTTTAAAAATTAAGTTAGGGCAACACTGGATAATAACATTCTGTAGATCTCAGGTGTACAATTCTATAAAACAACACTATAAGATGAGAACACATGCGAAGACAGACACGCACAGAGGGAAGGCACCATGTAAAGCAGGAAGCAGAGGTTGGAATCATGCTTCTGCTACCAAGAACACCTGGCCCACCGGGAGAGGGAAGAGGCAAGAGAGGATGTTTCTCTAGAATCTTCCGAGGGAGCATGGCCTTGCCATACCTTGGCTTCAGCTCTGGCCTCCAGAACTATGAGATAACACATTTCTGTTGCATTAAGGCTCTGAGTGGCAACTAGTAGAAGTAGGTACAAAGACAGCACAGAAATAAGAGAGCATGTGCATCATTCCTGTGGGTCCACATCACTGAGGCGAGGGCAGTAAGGCTGGAGTGGCCAGAGATGAAGCTAGACAGGGAGGAGGCGGGAGGCCAGATCACAAGGGCCTTGAAAGTCACATTAAAATTTTATGCTGAAGGCAGTAGAAACCCATCAGAATGCTTTAAGCCAAAGAACGACATAATCCGATATGATGGTTGTCAGCATGTCCAGTTCAGTTCCACAAATACTTATGGAGGGTCTGCTGCATGCCTGGCACTAGCCCAGATAAGAGGGGTAGAACAGTAAGTGACACAGCCCCTGTCCTGTTGAAGCCCATGGTGTCCATTACACCTGAGACCCAGCCACATTCTGCTCCTGAGGTTCTATGGCACATCCCAGTGTTCTACAGCACATCCCTCATCTTGCTGAAGCTAGTTTGAGCTGGGCTTTCTGTCATTTGGTATCTGGGGCCAGGGTTGTGGCTGAGGCCAAACCCAGGCCACGCATATGAAGTAAGAAAGGCAGGAAGCAAAGATGGGCCAACTAAAGGTGACACCAGGTCATCGGGGCCAGAGAAAAAGGGGATACAGAGGAGAATGGATGCAGAGAGGGTCTCATCAGGGAGGCAGGAGGAGAGGGGATGGTGGTCAAGAGAGACAAATACCAAGGAGATAATATAAGGGTGGAAAGAAGCCCTGCTTATGATCACTAAGAGGTCACAGTGACCTTCACACAAGCAGCTGTGGTAGGGTGAAGCTACATTCCACAGGTTCGGGGACAGGAAGAAACGAAGAGATGAAGCCAAGAAACTTGGCTATGAGAAGAGAGGGAGAGTGAAAGTTAGCAGGACCTGCTTTCGGGTTATCAAGAGGAGATTTTCCTGTGAAGGGAAGGAGCCAAGTGAGGGTGAAGTAGTCAGAAGGAGAAGCAGTCACTGATGGAGACAGTCCCTGAGAAGATGTCCCTTAGCCCCAGGACACGATGAGGCTTTGTGAGGACAAGAGAAGCCACAGCTCTCTACGCCCCAAAAAGGAAGTGAGGACAAAGGCAGATTAACTTGTTTACAGCAGATTGAACAAACAACGAGATGGATCCGTGGACACAGCTTCCCATTCTCTCTAGAAGGGAAGGAGGCTAAATGCCGTAAGAAGGAGGCACGGTGATTGGAGAAGGGCGGGGATTTGACGAGGGACATGGTGTAGGCTGCTGTAGGCTGGCTGAGGGGCATAGAGATGGGCAATCTGAGGTCTAGGGTGCAGCCTCCTGTGAGTGGCTGCAATGAAGCTGCCCCCTTTCCCTGTTGCCCTTGCAATGGACATGCCTGGCAGATCCCTAGTCCACAGTCAGAAAAGCTTGAAGCTTCCCCAATTCTGGTCACAGGGTTCCTGCACTAAGCCACATTCTTTCATTCCCCTCTGGGTGGAATGTCATTTGCCTAGAATGTGGGTTGTGTTTTCTTTTTCTTTTTTTTTACACTTTCAGTGTCACCTCACTCATCTTGATCACCCATGTCAAATGCCAACTTCCCATAAGACCATCTCAATGCTCTTGCCTGGTCCTCTTTCAAAGATGGGAAAAATGAGACAGAGAAGTTAGGCAATTTATCTGAGATCCATGGTGCTACTTGGCAGGATTTGAACCCAGGTCCGTCTGAAGCCAAAGCCCATAGCCTTTCCCTCTCCTCTAAATCTCTCCAATTAGGGAAAGTAGTTTAAAAACTTTCAGTGCAATATTCATGCAAAAATATGGTATGAGTTTATAGAAAAAGTGCTATCGGGATATCCTGCATTTTCGTTAAGCAGAAACAGGAAGACCTGGATCAGCCTACCAAGCATTCCCTAGAGCTTTTCCACCTAAATCATCACAACCACTCTGGTGTCTGCAGGCTTTACTTGTGACCTGTCCAAGGTCATACAAGGAGGTTTGTAGGAAAGTTAAACTCAGGACTTCCACCTTAAGTCCAGGGTTCATTCTACCAGTGAAAACAGTTTCCAGTGACAGAGAAAAACCTTTCTCTGCCTCCTTCCATTTGAATGCAAATCCCTTGGTAGCACAGGCAAAGGCTGTGAGTGCTCTCTGCTCTTATTGGCAGGAGGTGCAGAGAGATGGGTGTGTGTGATTCACCTTGCGGTACCCTTCCCTGCTCCTTGATCAGGAGGAGGCAGCCTAGCGTTTGCAGCTCCCACATCCCTACTCTATAGTGACTGGCTCAGTTATATTCTGAGCAAGGAAGGGACAATTCAGAGAGACTTTAGGCATGGGAAAGGCACCATGCCTCCCAAGACTCGGCCCTGTGTTTTCCCTTCTCAGACTCCAAGAAGAAGAAAAGTCAGTGTGTATGTTCCCTCTGCACTCACCTGTTCAAGAAGGCATTGCCAAAGGCATTGAGTTTCCGGAAGGGTTTCTTAGGATCCACCACCAGGGCGTTCCCAGGGATGGTCCCGTCCATCTCACCATGCATCACTGCAATGAAGGAGTCGGTGGTCGGCTCCGGCCCAATCCTCATGCCTGGAAAATCCTGTTCCAGTAGGTACCTGGCAGAGAGAGCACAGTCATAAAACAGGGATTCTGCTGGTAGATCAATACGGAGCATCTACCACAAGGCAGGACAGAAGAGCAGAGCCACAGGATTTTTCGGCAGGGAGAGAGGACTGCCGGACAGGATTTCAAAGACGTGGTGGTGAAGGTGGGATTACAACTGAACTTAAAATACAAAATCTGTTCTTCTTGGTTCTTATTTTTTCCTCTCCCTGAGTCAGTAGGGGAAAAATGCAAGGTTTGAGCTCAGGGCTGAAATGTGGATTGACAGTGATTGCGCACAGAGTATCGCAGACTTTACAACTGCTGACGGACCTGCATAAAGACTTGGTTAGAATTAGAGCATCCATGGGCTCTGCCAGCTTTCCACAGGTCATTATTTATTTATCTGGCTAGTCAAATCCTTTAATAGAAAACTGGCTCATATATGAGACAAAAATACAGCTAGTGTACCTGACCGGTGTGGCCCAGCAGTAGAGCATCAACCTATGAACCAGGAGGTTGCTGTTCAATTCCTGATTCAGGGCACATGACCAGGTTGTGGGCTCAATCCCCGGTGGAGGGCGTGCAGGAGGCAGCCGATCAATGACTCTCATCATTGATGCTTCTATTTCTCTCTCCTTCTCCTTTCCTCTCTGAAATCAGTTTTAAAAAAATATAGCCAGTGTGATAGCTACATTATGATAAGTGGATCTCCAATCGCTCTAGACTTCTGGTCTACTCTCTAGGTGCCAGATCCCTTTCTTTGCTCTTCCCCTGGCTAGGACAGTGACAGCCCAAGGCCATGTCCTTCTGCATAGCCCTCTTTAGAAGTCAAAAGCAAAGGCACATGACTAGCCAGAGAACAAAGAGAATAGCTCCTAAGGACAACTGAGTCATTTAGAAGAAGCTCAGGACAGCTTTGGGTTCAAATAGCATGAGGCTGAATTGAGGGGAGGAGCCCAGAACTGCCTCCAGTTGGGACTGAGCAGAGGAGATTCCCAGGACCATGATGGACGAGGAGCTAAGGGTGTACTGACCAACAAACACAGACTCTGGGGTGAGTCCTCACTGTGCCGAGAACCTCCTGAACTTTGAGGGCCCCCAAGAGAAGAGAGGGCGAATCAGAGACTGTTAGTTGGGAGGGAACATGGAGACCTCCTGAACCAGTGGTCCTCACCCCAGCTTCACAGCTGAGCTACCTCGGAGCTCTAGCTAAGATGCCTGGTCCCCACCCCCGGAGTTCTGACCCAATCACTTAGAGGCGGGGCTCTGGCCACTGGTGCTTGGTAGGAGCTCCTCAGGTGACCCTAATGTGCAGCTGGGGTTGACAGCACTCCCATTTCACTGAAAAGACCACTGACACTCCATAGCATTCCATGCCAGGCATCACACCAATCATTTGGGGAACATTATCTCCTTCGGAACATTATCTCCTTCAAGCCCTCTAGGTAGGGATTGAAGAAACAAAGGCCTGGGAGGGGTATGTGACTTTCTCCAAGTTAAATAGCTAATAGTAAGAGCTGAAACGCAGACCGAAATCAATCTAAAACCAAATCCTTTGCTCTTCAACTGCCTTCTACCCTGAGGAAGTCACTGCAGAGAGAGCTGACCCAGGCCCCAGCGAAGGTCAGGGCAGAGCTGGGACCAGAGGCCATGTCTCCAGGGCCCAAGTGCTCTGCCCATCCCAAGCCTCCCCCAGGTGGGCCTGAAGCAGCGGTCCTGCTCTGCTCACAGGGTGGTGGCCAGGGAGATGCGCTGGGGTTTCTTCCAGCTCGTGGTTCTCCTGCCTGTGCCTCTAAGAATGGTTTGGAGTTGTTACATGACTCTGTGGTTCAGGCAGTTTAAGCCGGTTGCTATGGGTCCTCCCCAGGGAGCCAATAGAGAAGCTGGTGCCCAGAAGACTCCCCTTCCAACCCTCCCCGCCCCCCGCCACACCCCCAGCATACACAGGAGGGTTTAGGTGGCCTGGGAAAGCCCTTCATCTCCCTCCAGCATCCCAGCTCGGCAATCTGGGTGTGAAGCAGAATTTCCTCCATCAGAGGACCATTGTGAAACCTGGCACTGGGGCTATGAATGAGGAGACGTCCAACAGCTGCAGTGCTTGGAGAGTACTTCCTGCCTCCTCCTTCAGGCCCTCACGGGAGAGGCAGGGAATCTCAGCAGCCCGGGGCCAGCAGGCCTGGTTTTTTAACCAGGAGGGCTATGCCTTTCAGAAGGCACTGGGCCTCTATGAGCCTCAGTGCCTTCCTCTATCACACGGGAGGTAATAGTTCCGATTTATCAAGCACCTGTGATGTGCCAAGCCCTGTTCTAGATTTTTCTATGGATTATCTCATTTCATCTTTATATCCACTCTGAGGTGAATACTATGATCCTTACTGTCAAGTAGGCCTAATAAGAAAGCCCACCTCTTAGGGTGTTCCGAGGGTTAAACTAGTTACAGCCCTTCAGCACCTAACCCAGTGCCTGGCACCCAGATTTATCATTCCAGGTTAAAGAGGGGGAGACAGGGTTAGACAATTTGCCTCAGGTCATGCAACTGGTACATAGCTGAGCTAGGATTTGAACCTGTCACTTGGATGTGAGAACTTACATTCCTAACCGCTACCTTGACTATCTCCTTTCCCGCCTTAGGACTCCTCCTGACCAGGAAATGCAAAACTGCTGAGCCCCACATGGGACTAGAATGAGGAATGGTACAAGAAGGTCACGAAGGAATACAGCTTGGCAGGAGGCTGTCCAGGGCCCAAGCTTTGGAAGAAAGGTAGGCTCTGGGTCCTACAAACCCAGGAATGTACTCTTATCTATACATGCCTGTCCTAGGGGTTCTCAGCAAAGCCTCAATGGGTGATGCATAATATGCAAAAGCTGTTGCTATCAAGTGACCAGAGTAGGCCCCAGGCCCCCTAGCTCTCAAGGGACATTCTTGGGACTTAAAAATAGTAAAGTCAGATTTTCCTGCGAAGACATTTCATGAGAACCAACACCATGCCAGGGGCACCCCATCCATTCTGTCTGTGTGCCAGGAGCCCCTGCCCCGTGAACACATGGGTGAGAAGCCCTAAGTGTGAGTTCTGAGGTAGGAGGGGCTGGTGGATATGACCAAAGGCTTGAGGGAAGCTGACAGAGACAGAAGTGGGAAGAAGCCGTTCGGAGGCAGCTTCGAGAACACTCAGACCAAACAGGGCCAAATGGCAGTGATGGAGTATCCTGCTGACCCAGGCGTCTCAGATTCCATCCCTGAGAGACATGCTGTGAGATCAGATGATCAAAGGGCGACTTCCCAGCATGACAGGGCCACTTCCCCGGGATGTGCCGGAGCCCCAGCCTGAGTCTGTCTGAGCAAGGGCCTGGAGGCTGGGCCGGCTGTCCTGCCCCTGTGGCAAAGCCCACAGGAGCCCAGACTTGCTGACCACACATGGGCCTGGAGGAACACAGAGTCCAGAAAAGCCGGCAGCACGTCCAGGGACACAGGGGGGCCAGGCAGAGACCCGGAGCTGGGTGAATTCTCAGGGACATTTGGGTATGGCTTGCAGCACGGAGTGCCCCCTTCACAAAGCCTCCACTGTGTCGGGAAAGGACAACCTATTGAGGGATCTCCTCACTGCTGCTCTGTGGGAAGTGATACAGATCGCCTCTGTTGCCAGGCGCAACCATTCCCACGGCAGCAGACACAAAGCCAAGTGAATGCAAGCCTGGGTGGGAACGGCTGAGACCAGGACGTGCAAGGGCAAGGAGGAGCTGCGGAGCGGCAGATGCTATTCCGGGACCTTTCCCCACATTATTCCACGGAATCGATCCAACACGCACTGTGGGATGGCAACATTATTTCAGTTTTGCAGTGGAGTAAATTGAGATATACGTTGTCCAAGTTCATGGCCAAATGGAAATAGTTAGCAATGTTAAGAGCTAAGATTTTGGTCCATAGTGCCCCCCACCACGCCATCCCCTGCCATCTGATGAAAAGCACATAAGTACTAAAACCACAAAATAGTTGTATGGAAGTCCTACACAAGGCTGATTTTTTTCTGTGAGAACTACTTTGTTGTACACTTTTCTTCAGTAAATTATGGCATTTTCCTCATTTGTGTGTGTGTGTGTGTGTCCTGCTTGCCTGGCAGTCTAAGCATGCAGTCTGCTTTAGTGGTGACCTAAGCACCCAGGGAAAGGCATGGAACCAAGACTCTTAACTTAGTCTGCTTCCAAAGTACCGCTCTCCGCAAGCAGTGGGCCAGGCCTCGGCTGCTGCTGGGACGGCGCCCGGGCAGGGAACAGAGGGGCGGGCTCTGCAAACATGATGCCCTGGGCTGGGCCCTCTGCCTCAGCTCAGCCCAGAACACACCTTGCGGGTGGCTCCTCCATCACAGATAGGACCTTGGACATATCACCCCGCAGCCCAGTGGCTCAGTGTCCCTGGTTTATAAGAAGGGGATAAACCTTGGTTTCTAACTAGCCATAGGGACAGTCTGAAGGTTTTGATAGGACATCCATGAGCTTGGGGAAAAACAAAGGTTACACCAGACATTTGCTCATAGGGGAAGAGACAATAATTAGAGGATACAAACACCTCATTGTTGCCTGTAAGTACTCAGCACATTTCTACAGAGTTCCAAATCCAGTCCCGTAGCGGCCCCAGTGAGCCCTAAATGGATTCATTCTGTCATCCCAAATCTGACTTACACTCTTCCCAGAAAAATCACAAAGCTCTTAATTTGCATATCTTGAGTAGACTCAAAAGGCACATGTCACTTCCTGCCTTGTATCATAGGTATTCGTGTTATAGACCTGAATCTTTGGTCTATCTTATCTGTGGACACAGACAATAGGGTGGTGAAGGCCTGGGATTGGGTGGGAACCCGGTGGAGTGGGCAAGGAGGGAGAAAAAGAGGGAACATCTGTAAAACTCTCAAACATTTTACTCTTAAAGATTTTTAAAAAAATTAAAACAAAAGATAAAATTAAACGGAGCCCCAACAATCATACTTGCCCTGTCAGTCTCAGCGGGTTTTAGGGAGAGCATAAAGCACCCCAGAGACACAAAATGAGGGAGTAGGTGGGAGAGACCCCTGATGGTGCGGTTGAGGTCTGAGTCAGCTCTGTGCTCCTCAGAACAGAGCAGCCACCACTGTCCCTGGGGCACAGCAGCTCTGCCACCAGATGAGGTGACCCCAGCACCAAGATGGGTGGCCACACTGCCAAGCCTCCCGCTCCCCTCCCCTCGCCCGCTCACTCCCCAGCACTGTGCTCAGGCCCCTGTTCCAGCTCTCCCAGCACAGGATCCAGCCTCCTTATCCTGGCTGTGGGAGGGGCCCCTAAGGGTTCCCCACCTCGTGAGGGCCAGCCTCGAAGCCTCTGGTTAGAGAATCTGCTAGAAAGAGGAGAGGGGATGACCAAGCCCCAAGCAGAATGCTTGCAAAGGCACTGGAGCTACCTTGGTCCCTTCCCCTTCTAATCCCGAGGAACCCTCGGAGGCGGTTGTTACGATTCACAGGATAGAGGTGAGGCAACAGGAGGGATAGCTCTTGCTAACAAGGTCTCTTGTTGGTGTCTGCTGGAGTCAGGATCCTGCTGAGAAGCAGGCCATATTCTGTCCATGGCCTGGCCTCATTGCCAAGGCTGATGAGGTAGAGCCCTTTCTCCAGGGCCCTTCTCCTCCCAGGCGGCACTGCTCCTGATGCCCTCCACACACCTGACTTCCAAGCGGGATCTTAGCTGGCCCTGGGATAGGCGGAGCCAGCCTCACTTAGGGCCCAGCAGATCCGAGCCCTGACAGAAAAAGGATGCCCACTGAGTGCAGGCTGGACAGGACAGAGGTGTTACAGGGACTGTGCCTGGTGGGATAGACCTGGCAGCGGTCAGTGGGTCTACCTGGAAGGAGATGGGATGATGATGCTGTAATGTACGAGGTGAGGCCTAGGCGGTGGGGATGGAGCAGCCACAGGTAAAGCTGAGTCACTTTGGGGGAGAATTCAAACATCCCCCTGAAGAAGTGGGAGAGGTTGAAAGGGTCAGCTAGTAGCAGCTCCCACTGTGTGCTCATACTTCAGAGGCCAAGTCATGCCATAGAAGGGCCACCACCCAGGCCTTGAGGTCAGCCCAGACCTCCCTGTGCAGACACAGGCAGCTTGGTTCTGGCAGCCCCAGGCCTGACCTCCCCGCCCCCCAGTCCTCTGTTTGGCCCCCCTTATGGTCCCTGAGAGTGCTGGGCTTTCCGCAGCCCTTGAGCCAGCCGGCTAGTCACCTCTGTGACCAGGGGGCCAAATGGGGCACAGGAGGAGGGATTGGAGGCTGCCTGCCAGGGGAAGGAAGAGTGAAGGGAGAAAAACAGCAGAGGCAGGGAAAGGCTGCCAGGTCCAAGGGACACAGAGCTACTGTACTCCGAGGAGGCAGCCTGTGTTAGAGGGAGCAGCCACCAGGCCAATTTATTGTTTATTTTATTACTCTGGGTTGCTGGGCCTTAGGCCAGAGAAGTTATTTCAGGCAGAGATCATAGCACATTAATTAGTTATTAAAAGAATGCCCTTTTCTGTGTGTTCTCCCTGAGAAAAGAAATAAACCCCGCGGCAAGTACATATAACTGAAAGTGGGTGGGCACTCCGGCGGCAAAGGCCCAGAGCTGGGAATGAAGAGGCAAGTCTCTATTCCGGAGAGAAAGGCCCCTCACAGGCTCAGGGATGGAGGGGAGAAGCGTAGTGTCCCAGGCAGGAAGCGGGGATGGGGAGGACTGAGAGGCCGGGACACCCTGAGAATCTACGCCCCTCGGACCATCCTACCCCAGTGCAGCCTGGGAGAGGGGTGCTATACCAACTTACCCTCTTGGAGAGCAATTCAGAAATAGGACCCTGAATAGCGAAATTAAACGTAAAAGAATAAATAAATAAATAAACAAACAGAAACAACCCTGCATAACCTTTGGCCTAGTGATTTCGCTTCTGGGAATCTCTGAGAAAACAGTCACTGTGTGGAAAAACACTGAGATATTCACAAAGATATTCACAGTGATACTGCCACAGTAGAAAAGTCTGAAGCATCCTAAAACATTCAAAAGGAGTAGACGGGTGCAGTGACTAATTGCATATACATACAGCGAAATAGCAGGAGGCTCTTTTAAAGAATGTTTACAAAGATTTTCAAACTTACGTGAGAAATGCTCGCGCTGGAAGCAAAACAACTCAGCATACAAAATTACATTACGGATGATCTTAACCAGGTGATAAAATAGCTAACCATACTGGAAATATGCGTATATTGATATACATGTGAATGATATTTAAAATGGTTTCCCTTGAGTTGTGGGATTATGGGTGATCTTCTTTCTTCTTCTGTACATTCATTCTCTGCATTTTCCAATTTAAAGAAAATAACTTGTTCAGTGGATTTAATGACAAGGCAGGAAAACATGCAATTTGGTTTGGGAAGGCATCCCTGTGCTGCAAGCCCTCCTACCCTGCTGGCCCACTCTCCCTCACGGAGAGGCGGCTTTTGATGCCTGAGCTAAATTCAGTTACTGACATGAGTGGGGAGAGAGAACTCTTGTACTCGGAGGATAAGAGAGGAGGGATCTGTCCCTCCCGGCCTTCCTGTTTCCCTCAGATAACGAATAATCTATGGCAGCTTGACCCGGCCACTTTCCTAGACCCGGTTAACAGCCAGCATGACTCAGGCGAAACCAGGAGAGAGTCTCAGACAGAGGCACTTACACCTGCCTGCTGCTTGGAGATCCAGCACCCTAGGGACACCTGCCTTTTCCCCACGTTCCCTCCCATTCTGCAAACGTATACCGGGAACCTCCCATGGCTGAGACCCCAGGCGAGGCCCCAGAAGCTGAGGCACCGTTGTATGTGCTGCTGTTACAGGAAAGAGAAGCTCTAAAGAACCAAGGGGTGTCCAGAGGGCCAGAGAAGGCTCTGCAGAGGCAGGCGCCATCTGTAAATGGCCAGGACTTCCCGTGGGGGCATAATACAGGCCAGAGAAAGGACACAGGTTACAAAGGAATCATGCACAGAACCCAGGTATTTCTAGTGTGCTTGGCAACAATGGGCATTTAACAAAGTCAAGGAGATGGGTTAGATCCCAGCCCTCGCCTAAAAGTCCATGGTGGTCCTCGGGCCCAGAGATTACATATAAATTTGTGATGTATGTGTATTTTCTTCTAAAGATAAGTCCAGCTTCCATCAGATTTTCAAAGGAAGAACTAACTTTAAAAAAAAAAAAAAAAAAAAAAAAAAAAAAAAAAGGTTAAGAAGCAATGGGTTCAATTCATAGCAAAGGGTCCTTGTAGTTCCAACAGCATAAGAGATCCGAAAGCCAACTGGCCCCACTCCCCGACCCAAACTGGTTCAGAAATCACTCAGTCTCTCCAAGCTGCTGAGCCCAAGGCTATCCGCCTCCCCAAGGACGAACTTGATCTGGCGGTCTATTCAGACACAACATGTTAGTGTGGGGCATGCGCAACTTGCAGAAAGCGTGTGTTATGAAAGTCTACTGTGAAGAGAACATTTGTATACAGAAAATCAGAAATCAGACAGTTCCCGTTGCTGCTTTTCTTTGCCAATCAAAGACTGGTATTGAGGGTTGCAAGTGCTCAATCAAGGAATGGAAACAAGAGCACCCCGCTTTCAAGCCTGCAAGAGATGAGCACTGTTGACTTTTGGAGGCCACGGAACCCATTGCTACGCTGTAGGAGCCTGCCTCTCACCATAGAACACTCTAAGCACCAAGAGCTTGGCCAGGGCTAGAGATGAGGCCAAGGGAAATGGCTGGCCTTGAAGGCTGTGTGGCCTGAAGCCTGGAGAGAAGCCTGTCGTCTAGAGATAAGAGGGATTCTCATCCCTCTAGCGGCCCATATGCACACCTCTCCGAATGCAGGGTGGACATGTTGACTTCTGGAGGATCTCTCCAGCCCAAGGACTCTGTAATTCAAGAGAATGGATGACTCACCCTCAAAGTCACAGGCATTTAGCCCAGCATCTACTTCCAAGGGTCAAGGGCAGCATCCCACGTTGGCCTCCCCCCACAGTGAGATGACGCTGGGCCGTGAAGCTAACCTCTCCCTGCCTCAGTTATCTCACCCATTAAGCTGGATGAGACAATCAACAATATCCCTTCCACCTCTAAAAGACTTCAATATTATTACCATCAAACAAGGGAAAATATTTTTAAAAACAACATGCTCTTTCCGATACTGCTTCTGTCCAGTCTCCAGGAGATAACATGTCGGTGCTCGGGCTCCACGAAGGAAAATGATAAAAGGACAAGAGGCACTGCCAGACAGGGGAGCCACTCGCAGGGTCCCCAGCCCACCTCTTCAGCTGTAACTGTGAAGCCCCCACGTGAGTGGCTGAAGCCTTTGCAAGGCAAGGGAAACAGAAGTGGCCCTAAAGGGCATGTCCCTAAAATGTGAGGGTGTAAGATATTCCCACACAGGACTCTTGGGATAAGGGATTTCCCACTCGTGCCTCCTGGGCCTTGGTTTCACCATCCATAAAATGGGGAGACTAGGATGGCTCTGATTTTTCAAACTGACCACTTGAGCCAAGGCTCTACGCTCAGTGGAGAGGCATTGGGTAGGATGGGGTGGGGAACCAGCAGTGAAATTGTGGGGTAAGCTTTGGACACATGAACATGCAAAGATTTCTTCAGAGTACCGGAGAGAAGACAGTGCCCAGCCTGGGGGGAGGTTGGAGGGGGGGACAGCACCAGGAATGAATGGAAGGCTTAAGCGCTGGGAGGTAGGGTGGGGCTGCTGAGGATGGGGGTGGGGACCTGGGGGACCCTGGACTGACTCACCTGATGAAAGTGGTCTTCCCAGTGGAGTACTGGCCCACCAGTAAGACCATGGGCTTGTTGTCAAAGTCGGCATCCTCCAGGGCGGGCGAGTGAAACTCGTGGAAGCGGTAATGCTCTTCCAGAGGCAGCAGCTTGCTCTTGTAGAGTTTCTTGAGCCCCTCGCTCACCGTCTGGAAGACCTCGGGGTCCTTCCTCCGCCGGTCGTCGGTGCTCAGCCAGCTGAACATCGCGGCGGCTGCTGGCCCCCTGCGCGCAGCCCAGCAGGAGGGCGCGGAGCCCCGAGTCCGGTGCCCTTGGCTCCTCGGGGAGGCGGGGTGGAAGGGGGGATGCCACGCAGGGCGGGCCCGCTGGGCTCGGAACTGCCTCACCGGAGCTCGGGGCTCAGCTGCACCATGCCCGGGGCGCGCGGCTCGGAGGTCCCCGGAGCAACGCCGCTCTGGGGCGGAGAACGAGCTCTTTCCAAGCTCCTGGGACCAAGCCCAGCCCCAGCTTCATCCAGCAACCCAGGCCGGACGGCAGGAAGAAGGATCGGGGCTGGGCGCGAGGGTCGCGATCTTGGAAATTAAAAAGTCAAACCTGTAATTGAACTGCCAGATGCCGAGGTCCGGGGTCTTCCCCGCCCAGACCGCTCCAGCTCGGACCCGGGCACAGCTAAGGGGATGCTCCGGCTCCGCTCCTGCCCAGCCAGGTCGCTCAGGGGGATGGGGCGGTGGGTGCACCAGCCCGCAGCCAGCTCGGCGTCGCAGCCCCAGGCGCCGGTTTAAATGCCAGCGGTGCAGGAAGCGGGCTCCCGGAGGAAGTCCCCGAGTACTGGCAAGGCCAGCCCGGCCTGCGGGCCCCGGCGGCCAGGAGAAGCTGAGCCGGGCGCAGCCATGTTTGTGGGCAGATGATGCTCCGCTGGGGACCCGCTGGCTGCTGCCTGGGAAGCCGGGATGCTGCTGAGTCCTGTGGGAAGGCGCTGGTATTTCAGGCCAGGCCTGGGGAGGTTACTGTGGGAACAGCGCCCTCTCAGGGGCAGCTGTGAACTGACCTGCTCACCACCCTCCCTACTTTTACTAGTAAAAAGGGCTTTTTCCTTAGGTCCTGAGCCCCATTCCTTAAGAAGTCAGGTACCTGCCAAAACCGGTTTTGCTCCGTGGATAGAGAGAAAACGGGTACCCTACTTGGGAATATTTCTCTTGGTGGCATGGGAGAGAAGAGCCCAATAGCAGGTTATACAAAATGACCCAAAACTGTAGCGACCCAAACTTTTTGCTAGGAGGTCTAGGATGATGTCAAAACCATTCACATTCATTCCTTCTAACAAAACAAACAAGCGAAACCCCTGACCATACTGAGCCGGGAATATGGGCTCACCAGTTTTGGTGACTGGATACAAGGTTGATGAGCACATACAGACTCTCCCTTCTGGGAGCTCCAGTCCAGGCAGGCTTCACAGAGGAGAAATGAGCGGGGAGCCGTGGGCTCGTGGGAGGGAGGAGGGATTCCTTTTGTCTGGATAACCTGAGGAAGGCGTCACAGAAAGCAGGGCTGTGACCTGGATCTTAGATGATGAATCTGCAGAGAAGAGGGAAGACATCCAGGCAGAGTAAACGGCATCTGCAAAAGGCATGGAAACACGGAAGAACTTGCTTTGGTGAAGGCAGAATAAACAGTTTTGCTAGAGTATAGGGTACAGGAGGGCGGAAGGGAGTATCTGAGGCCAGAAAGGCTTTGCTTGCCCAAACAAGGAATCATATAGGCCCTATATGATTATAGGGGATAAGGAACCAAAAGTAATGTTTTTACTAATCATCGTTTACATTAACTAAGTGCTTGCTTTGTATAAGGGCCTGGGCTAAGTTCTCAGTCAGCACTGTTGCATTGACCTTCACAGCAGCTCCCTGAGACAGGTTATATTATCTACAGCAGTACACCAACGAGAATGGGGGTGGGAACAGTGGTAGGCCAGGTGTAGGCAAAAGGAATGACTTGTCTAGAGAGAACTTCAATGCAATAATAAAACCAACTCAAAATCAGTCTGTTTTGTATTAGCTCCATTCTCACCCTCCTCCATGCCAAGGCAGATAGCTCCCACATACTCCTTTCCATCGATGAAGAAACAGCAGGCTAATGGGCCAGGTGGGACTGCTAATGCTGGTGGCACTGTGGGGGAGGAACAGGAAGTGTAAACGAGGCTGGAGGTCAAGAGACAGACTAGGAAACTACTCAAAAATTGAGGAGACAGCAGTAATCGGGATGGGGAAGAGGTCATATTCAAGAGATTTTTTTTTTAATGGCATAGAAATGACTGATCTTGGTAAGCAATAATAGAGAGGAAATGAGGATAAGTCGGAGTCTCAGAGGATGCTGAATTTTCTACTGTAAGGGAAATGGTTGGAGACACTTTTCCACCAATGAGGGAAGTCAGGAGGGGAACAGATTTAGCATTTGAAGATGATGTGTTCAGCTTGAAACATGTGTGGTGGAGGTGCCTGTGGGAACTCCAAGGGGAGGAGTAGACTTGGTGAAGCTGCAGGGGTTTGGGCAGGAATTATCAGAGATGGGTGCTAGCTAGAATCCCCTAGTTACAGCTCAGATCTCCTGCTTCTTCCGGGAACCCCAGAACTGATCATCTCCTTCTGAGCTCTCTGAACCTCTGGGTAAGAAACCACTTGGAGCCCTAGCTGGTTTGGCTGGTTTGAATGGAGCATCAGCCTGTACTGAAGGGCCCAAGTTCGATTCCAATCAAAAGCACACACTCAGGTTGTGTGTTCGGTCCCCAGGAGGAAGTGAGCAGGAGGCAGCTGATCAATGATTCTCTCTCTTTCTCCCTTCTCTTTCTCCCTTCCTCTAGGAAATCATTAAAAATTAATTTTAAAAAGAAACTAGTTGGATTAATAGCTTACCCTTGGTGTTTATGTTAGATTTGATATACAAGCATAAGAAACAATACTAAAAATATTTAATAACTCACATGGATGGGTATAGAACAAACACAACAGATTCCTACCTTTCCAGTGGAACAGGGCTTAAGGCCCCAGCTGAGTTGGGTATAGAAGTACAAAAGAGAGTGAAAACATATTGCAATGCATAAAAGCAACAGAAGAGCTTCTAAAATATATAATAAATACCTATACATTCATAAGAAAAAAAAACATTCCAACAAAACTACTTATACAAGTAGTTTTTTGTCTTTTGGCAAAGACAAAAAACTACTTGTATAAAAGATGCGACATGGATGTCCTATAAACATAAGAAAAGATATTAAACCTCATTACTAGTGCCTGGAACTGGGAGGTATGGGTCAGTCTGGAGGGAAAGTCCAGGATGGCCAAGGTACCAGAAGGAAAGAAAGGGGGTTCCACTGGAGAAATGTTTCAATATTTTAGTAACCAGTAAGCCATGATATTGTACACCAATGAACATCAGCCCTGAATAGCTAATTTATTGGGTGCCCATTGACACATCTACAGATCCTTTAGAGTTGGAAATATATATTTTTTTTTTAAAAAAGAAGCCAAGTAATTGGCAGCATTTCTGTATACGAGCAATAAGAATTAGATAATTTTTAAATAATATTTTTTATTTTTCAATAATAGTTGACATACAATATTATATTAATTTTAGGTGTACAACCCAGTGATTAGACATATATATCACTTACTTTAATCACCTTGATAAATCTATAATAGTACCCATCTGACACCATATATAATTATTACAATATTGTTGACTATATTCCCTATGTGGTATTTTATATCCCCATGACTATTCTGTAACTACCAATTTGTACTTCTTAATTCCTTCATCTTTTTCACTCATTCCCCAAGCCCCTCCCATCTAGCAATAGTCAAAATGCTCTCTTGTCTGCTTGATTGTTTATTTTGTTTTTTAAATTTCGCATATAAATGAAATCAAATGGTATTCTCTGTCTTATTTCACTAAGCACAAAGCCTTCTAGATCCATTCATGTAGTTGCAAATGACAACATTTCACTATTTTATTTTATTTTGATGGCTGGATTATATTCCATTATATATATGCACCACTTTTTTATCCATTTATGAACACTGCTTTTATATCTTGGTTATTGTAAGTAATGCTACAATAAATATATGGATGTATATGTCTTTTCAACTTAGTGTTTTGAATTTCTTCAGATAAATACACAGAAATGGAATTGCTGGTCCTTTGTTTTCTCTTGTTACATACAGCCTTTGTTTTAAAGTCTACTTTGTCTGCTCTAAGTATTGCTACTCAGCTTTTTTTTTCCCCATTTCCATTTTTATGAAATATCTTTTTTCATTCCCATGTGTGTCTTTCAAACTGAAGCGAGTCTCTTGTAGACAGCATATGTGTGGGTCTTGTTTTGTTATCCATTCAACCTCCATATGTCTTTTGGTTGGAGCATTTAAACCATTTGCACTTAAAGTAATTATTGATAAGTATGTATTCCACATATGAGTGAGATCATGTTCTTAAAAAAATCAGGTGTCTATACTTGTATATGAGGATTTCTGGTACCAAGAATTAACCAATCAGATGCAATCTTATTATGTGATGTGACAAATAAAATCCAAGTTTATTACATGACATATTTATGATTCAAGACAGGGTATTAACACAGGACAAATTGTTGTGTTGACGGTTGTCTTTTTTTTTTTTTTAATTTGACAATTTAAGGGAAAAGTGATCAGTGTCCCTGACTAAATAGTCAGGTAGTGCATGTTTTAAAATTCTTGTGGCACAGCAGTTGAAAATTGCTTCCTTTACAGGATGAGACAGAATTCACATGTTAAAAAGACATGAGATTCAATATACAGCAGATTCAATGTGAGTCAACACTGAGATGTAGTTGCCCAAAATAATGATGAGATGCCAGCTGCATGAGGACAGCATAGGAAATGACGGCTATCAATGCTGGCTGAGAGCTTGTTATACAAGAGGCATTACGCTGGGTGTTCTCACATAGATTACTCATTTCATTTTCACCGCGACAGTGCAGAGTGCCATTATTCTTCCAGATAAAGAAATCAAAACTTAGTAGCAAAAATGAGGCAGAGAGGGGAATGGGCCACCATTTTTATGAAATGTAAGGTCTTGTACTGATTCATATACCCCAGATATGGCTTGATGTGGCAGAGGACAACAATCACTACATGGTGTTATGAATAATTAAAGGAACTAAAATCTTCAAAGTTATATTCTAAGGGCTGTCAAATGGAAGGGCAAAAACTATGGATAT